TATATAAGAGTATTCTCTATATACACCATGCAAACACACACAAATCGAGACAAAACTATTTTTTAAACTAAAATTAAAATGTTATTTTCAATGTTTGATTTTTAGCATATAATTTGCTTTTTTCTGGTTCCAAGATGGCAAACCCCCTTCCCAAAAGGAGTACTTCTGGTGGTAAAGGTGAGGGGTTAGGGGGTGGGATTTCCAGGTCCAAGGTGACCAGGGGGCAGGGCTACCCTTGTGGCCCTCAACAGCTCACCAAAACTTAAGTGGCCCTCCAGCTGATATAATTGCCTGCCCCTACTTTAAATTAAATGGCATCATCTCAAGTGTATTAAATAATACTTAGTACTAATCATTAGAATGTAAAGAGCTGATTCCCAAATTTGTTTTTACACAGCAATTTTCTCAGTAATATCACTTCCTGCTCCAATCTACATTGGCTCATAAACCCAGCTGTAAGGAGGAAGAAATACTGACACTAGTACAAACCTCATTACTACGGTAACTTTAGAGTCTTCACTGATGGCATTTTCTAAGCTTTTAAGACATCACACTTTACAGGAGCATACTTTAATAATTTTGAAATTTAATAATTAAAGCTGTAAGCAGTTTTAGAGCCTAAATTTAAGACTGAGACAGTGACAGGGAAAATATGTTTCCAAATTTTTACCACTTTTATTTAAAAGATAATTTTAGCATTCATAATCCTACCACCAATGGTTATAAACTACCATTTGTGCTAGAGTGCAAAGTCATATTCATATGCCTAATGAAAATCATATAAACATGGCCATCTTGTCAGGGATGTATTACTTTGATGTACCTTCCTTTTTTATCCCTGTCTAGCCCAACTTACAGATATAAGTAGCCATCTTCGGTAGCATAACTTGAGCAACAATATTCAATCATTTAGCATTATAAGCACAAATTTCAGTGCAAAATTAACTCACTGGTTTCTTTCCTACTATGAGTTTCTCAACCTTTTGGACCTGGGATACATGATCTTCATTTGTCTTCAGTTCCCGTTTGCGAATTCGTTCATAAATCCCAATCAGCATCTCTCGTGGGATATCTTCACCATCATCTACACCTGTAGAAACCAACAACTTTCATTACCACTCTGGCTTACAGTGACCTGCCTAGCAAACACTGAGACCTCTCCCAATTACAGCTCAATAATGTGGATCTCTCAGCAAGGTGAAGCATAAGGGCACAGATACTTTGCTTACAATATTAGTAGTGAAGCAGAAGTTGTCTAGTTTATATGGATCACTGACATGCATGTTAATCTGAGTTGTATTATTACATGAATGACTTATCCTGCTAACAAGAAATAAAGATAAGCCCTTTTCTGATTTCATCATTTTTCTAATCTTACAAAAAAAGAAAGGATTATGTTATATTAAAAAAGGTGTTATTTCTCACACAATAAGCTCTGTCCACTGATAAAATATTCAAAGTATGAACTATGGTTTTGCTTTTTTGTTTTGTTTTGTTTTTAATTATCATACATGAATTGACCCATAACAAGGGTAATTTCCCATACACTTGTTCAAGGTAAACAAGAGCAAAATCAAACAACCAAACTCTCAAAACTGAAGTGAATTTAATGTATTGAATACTGGCAAAACTCACAGGGCAGGTGTAGCTGAAATGGGGGCCCTAAATTTAAGCAGTGGGTTTTTAAAAACACAGCTTCAATTTAGGGCTGATTAAATCCCCGTGCCATGAACACACCCCACTGACTTACTTGCCTCTCCGACAGTGGGGAGGGGAGGGCGAGCTGCTGGTGAGCGAAGCTGTCCCTTGGCTGCGGGGCAGGAGAGGGGGGACTGGTGCTCCCCTCCACAGCAGCAGCAGCCTTCACCCAGGCAGCACCCACCTGCAGGCACCTGGGTCAGGCAGTCCTGGGAGGCACCGCAGCCACGAAATGAAGCACCGGGTCCCAGTGCAGCTCAGGCAGGCTCAGGGGGGAGATCAGGCTCGCTGCTTTTCTTGAGCAGAGCCTGTCTTCCCAGGCTGCTGCCAGGCGGCCTGCAGGGCTTCTTGCAGAGCCCCTGAACTGCACAGAGCCCGGTGTTTCATTCCGCAGCTGTAGGCACAGGAAACTAAAACTCCTCAGAGGAGTTTTAGTTTGCTGTACCCCAAGTCATTTAAGGTGCATTACGCCACGGAATTTCCTAGTGCAGCTGGAATTAATGAGCAATATGCCACCAAGGTGTGCAAACACTGACACCATTAAAGTGCTGCAAAAGCATTTAGCCTGCTTTAAAGTGTCATGCACACACATGCCTTATTAGATACTAATATTTCCCAATACAATATCAGACAGAACTGGTGCTCTTTTTCCAATCTGCTGCACCTATATTTCTCAGCCCTGACCTGCAGGAATCATATCTATAGACAACTTGGTAGTTCAGTTTCTGCGTTCACTCAGACCTTGGTCTCTCAAGAATATAAACCAGGGTGCCACCAATGGCAATTATGGTAATTTTTGTGACATGGACATTTAATCCACTAGAAGGTGATTGTTTCAATGTGCAGTCTCATGAATCTAACACGTAACTCATTTCACCTACTCCAGATAACAGTTTGAAATGCTAGTGACTTTTGGTAACTAATGACCTCAAGTGGATACTGAACTAGTTATCTCAAAGATGTGAATCCCATGTCCCTGGCTCTATTTTTTTCTCTGACAGTTTTAACATATCTTTATCTAAGTTATATCCATACATCCTACCCAAAATAAACTAACACTAAATACTGTTCTTTCTCTCTCATCAAATTAATCTGCTGTATCTTCTGCCATAATTATTAATTCATACAGAATATAATGACATTAGATATTTATAATAACAGTGCACAGATTACTCAAAACAATTATTTCCTGTTTTTATATTCATTTCAAGAAAACTGAATTTACCATAGAAAAATACTTTATGCTATTTCAAATAATAATCTTGTCATCATGCTGTGTTACTATTTAGGGCTCAATAATTATTATAAGCATGAAAGCAAGCATTCAGTGAGTGCTATAAAATCTTGGAAATCTGGTCCTGAATACTTAGCTACCATCAACTGTACCTTTAGCATGTCAAATCTGCATGACAAACAGGGATTTTTGGGCTTTCTACCATAAGCTGTCTACATCTGGGTATTCAAATATTTTTCCCATTTATGATGACAAAGATCATCTTCTCTTTTAATTGCACATAAACAACATGCAAATGTTCCAAAGAGCACAATTTGACTCCCATTGATTTCATGTAACAGCTACGATGAAAATAAGGTAAAAAGAAGAAGGAATTCAATAAGACACAGCCTATACAGTCACATCAGTTCTGATATAATAATTACAAAGATATATGTCTAACTACTGTAAAAAGAATAAATATCAGGCCATGTTCAACCTAGTTCTTATGTGGATTTTACAAATTAAATTACAAAGCTAATTTAAATATGTGTATAATTTAAACTTTGACCCAGGGCTTAATGTCTGTCAAGTGCAGAGAGCCACAGTAACTTTAGAGAATGAATAGATAAATGATGCTTTTATTTTCAAGATCCAAAAGTCCAGGACTATCTCAGTATCTGTGTTTTTATTGGCATCAAGATAAATCTACTATGTCTGTACATATAAATGGGAAGATTAACGTGTCTGAATGATGTAGACATAAGTCTGGCTTCTAATCTACTCCACTTTCCTCTTTCTGCCACGCAGCTCACTTTTCTGTGCCACCAAAAAAGAAATCACTAAAATAATCTGGTGCTTACTGCTGTGTTGCCCCTGACAGCATCTGACAGTCCATTCTGCACTGAACTGATCTCACATGTTGCTACATCCAGTGCTACCTTTCAGGTATGGACTATAACTGGATGGGAAATAGAGTGGATCAGCATACACAGACTGCAAGGACACAACCTCTCTCCTTGGATCAGCTCCAAATTGGAGCCTGATCCACAGCCTCCCTATTCAACAGCTAACTTCTCTTGGGTTGGGAGAATCAGTCTAATTTATGGCATATTGTGTGAAGCACCATGAGTTGGACTGGGTAGGTGCACTTCGGCCTGTGTCCTATGGTGAAAGCTGTATGTTGCACAACTTGAAAGAAGTTCCAGTATGTTCACTCCCCCTACATCCTGGGGAGCACTACAAGAGATTGTGAAGTTTCTCACCACCCGTTTCCAGGTACAGTCTGGTTCTCTACTCTCTGTGGAAGAGAACCACTGTAGGACAGCACAGGAGCTGGGCTGGAATTAAAATGCATTTCTATTTAACATTGCTCATCTCTGGGAAAAGGAACTGGATTCATCAGGTCCTGGGAGGGAAACCAGGGCAGCAAACAAAGGCTGTGGACCCATTATATGACTACTATAGAATGATGCATTTCCATTTTAATCCATACTGAATTTCCTCTGTCCTGATGAGTGAATACACAACCAGTTCTTGCAAACTGGCTGCCGGCAGTAAACTCTAGCACATCACCTAGCCACTGGGTGGCAAGGGAACCAGCCTGCACTGACCAAGCAGCTACCCAAGGGTGAACCTGGCTAGGGGACAAGGCACAACACATTCTACAGAGAAACTTTCCCACACAGCCGTTATACATTTTTCAAGAGATAACTTGGCCTTGGATTCAAATAATTTATTAAGATGCAAACCTATGCTTCACATGTTTACTGCACTTACACTATGTCATAAAGTCAACTGACTAGACTTGATCTGAACCTACAAGAGGCCATTGTCATGAGTCTGTTTCCCAAGAGGCAGACCATGCTGGAAGTGGCTGAGCAACATAGAAGAATACACCATATTCCCCTTTCACAAACACTGGTTGCAATACCCAGTGACATAACTGGTCATCTGTACCTTCTTTTACCAGGCAGACTTTACAGTAATAAGATTTTTTTTCATTCTCATTCATGTATGTCAAATTATGAAAGTTATAAGTTGTCATCAAACCTCCACAAAGCATATCGGCCTGCCAAGTTTCAATTATATCCAGGAAATTGGCACATTGCAGAGATGTGAATACAACGTAGAGAATATTTAGAACATATCTGGGGAGATGGGAACAAAAGGACCAGACAAAAGAGCTTTATAATGGGGATAGGATATAGGCGACAAAGGATTGGAGGCTATATTCAGTTTTCACATTATGCCAGAGATAAAATTATCAAACCCAACTGTTTTTATACTAACATAAAAGCATGGTAAGTGAAATCATCATCAGGCTCTACATATCTTGTTTTTGTCCCGGATGGTGTCTGAAGTAGTTCTACTTCCAATCACAATTCAAATTTGCTCACCCCTTAGATTCTTGACAAAATCTTCAAGCTTCATTTTGCGTTCTGGTTTCACATTTGGGCTGTACATGTCTGTATTTAGCAATATGATTGCAAAAGCTAGGATGAAGATGGTATCAGGATTTCGAAACTGTCTCACAACACCTGGATTGCAGATACAATATCGCTGGCTATAAGAAGAAAAGAAGGGAAGTCTGTCAGAGCTAAGGAGACCCATATACCTAAAATCAAACCAACAAATTATTACATTGAAGAGGCTGACTTTACATATATTTAGTTTAACATACCAATTATTTGTTCCCTCACAGCTTTAGAGGCAATATTCTGGAATGTGAAGGCTTGTCTTTTCCATTTTTCACCCAAGAAACTCATTTGTTGGCACAGATTCCTACCTACTATAACTTTACCCCTTCAATATTCCATTGGCTTCAATGAGGTTACACCACTATACCATCTAAAGAAGTGTCCCTCATTTTTAGACTGCTGTCACAAGATGATTTACATTATTTCTCCTCAGGGATAAAAGAACATCTGTGATAGCTTTAATAAGTTAATGTTTTCTGTTCCATTCTACCAATCTGCAATAAAAGGTCAGTGGAGAACCTAGAGGTAACTGTGATGTACTATCCTGTGCCCCAAGTAAAGAAACCAAACACCTTAATTCCAACAGCGAATTTTTGGTGACAAACATTTTAAAAGTTACTTACAAAATCTTACCAATCAAACTGACACTGGAGGGAACTTTCAATTTGGAAGCAAATTAATAATAAAATAATCAAAATAAAAATTATACAAATAACAGCAGTAAATAAAACTTATTTTTAATGTTAACAGATAAAGTGTTGAAATGTCTCATCACAAAACTGCATAAGAACTCCAGTCTTCATAAAGGCTGTGAAAATAAGAAAGGAATAGTCTATTTCTACCCAGCTGCCCTATCACTGACATTTCACAGCTGGATGGCATCAGGTGTTCATTAAATAACTTATTTCAATACCATACCTAAAAGCTTCAATGAGTCGTTCTACTTTTTGAGCTTCTCCTTGAACACGAATATGAGCCTGAAACTTCCTGAGTGCTTCATCCAGTTCCATTGCTGAGAAGTCCATCTCATCCACAACGCAGCTAGGACAAAACACAATACATTGTTAAATGTAAGATATTTAGAAAAAATCCCAGCCAAATCTCCTGAATTCTCCACGTACAGGAACATACAAAGGAAAAATACCTCTCAAAATGTTCAGCCAATTGCAATAATCATAGCTGAAAGCATAAAAAGCAAATTGCAAGGAATATATCATTTAGGGGCAAAAATGAAGTAGATGTAAGCAGACCATAACTCTTCTTTATTGCATGGCTGCCGGCATGACAAATGCTGATCAATGTAAGAGACACCTTATTGCCACAAATAATTGTAAGTTTTATGTTCTCAAGCCAGTCAATTATCACCTGTCAATATCTATAATAAAACAAAATAGTGATTCTATACTGATGAAAATTCTGATTTGCAAAACAACCTGCAGTAAAGGGTTCTTGTACCATGCAGCTGTGAGTTCAGAAATTCTTGTATGTATTTATTTTCTGAACTTGTTATGGTATTAATCTACTTTTGCAATAAATTTCATTTCCCCAATATACACCAAGTTCTCTAGTCAATGTTTGCTGGGAAAAGGTTATTTTCTTGTTTGGAATAAATAATACTAAGAATGATTGAACACGTAAGAATATCACTGACAGGAATCATGTTGTTCTAACACATGATATAAACATTTAAATCAAAAGATTGTGGGCTCCTTTTTCTCACATTTGGCTTTTAGGTTTTAATGACTAAATGTGAATCACTGCAACTTCCAAGGAAGTAATGTAGATGCTATAGTAAGAAAGTATGATCCAGTTGAAAAGGTTTTTTATTAAATGGATTGGAGTACAGTGATAAGCTAGACTAGCTCGTACATTTCTCTTGCAATAAAATTGTGCTACCATTTATTCATTGCAGAGCATTTTTTTACTTCAACTCATATATTTTCTTTTTTGTACAAATATGAAAGTAGGGAAATAAATGAACTGTACATTCCTCCTGTTACTCTTTGTCCATACTGTAAAGCGAAGTCAATTCCAGAGCAATCTTCACAAACATAACAGTAACTCAATTATAACTTGAGTGGTTTGGACCATTATGCTCTATGGCCAGTGTTTGGACCAGTTGGAGTTAAAATGGAAACTGAAGAAATAAAGGGTATCTAGTATGGCTGTGCAAAGCTCCGGATCACAATTCGGATTCAGAGATGATTTGGAGGCCGAATCTATGAATCCGAATTGAATCCCTAGAAGCTTTAGGCTTTCTGAATCGATCCGGAGCTTCCAAGTAGATTTGGAAAAGATTCGGCCATAGGGTATAATGGGGAATCAATGAAATATCTATTACTTTGTTGTTTTTTGGCTGATTTGAATGAAACGTGCAGGGATGGTAGCCTCTGCTGGGAGCATGACACGTGTCAAGTTTCAAGGTGATAGGTGCAGTTTCCCAGAATCCCTTGTGCCTATCTCCTTGAAACTTGGCAGGCTTTGTAAGAGCTACCATCCCTGCAGTTTTCACCCCACTGTGGCTTAACACACACATGTGACATGAGTTTTGCTTTCAGGACTTTGAGGTGCAGTTTCCCAGAAACCTCTGAACCTATCACCTTGAAACCTGGCATGTGTCATGCTCTCAGCGGAGGCTACCATCCAAAAGACAGCAAAGTTATGGATATTTCATTAATTCCCCATTATACTCTATGGCCGAATCTCTGAATTGGCTCCGAATCAGCTCCAAATCCAAATCAGAATTGAATAGTTCCCTATTTGCACAGGCCTAGCATCTAGACTCCAAATATCCCAGACTAGCAGCACAACAGGAAACTTGATAATTCCTCCCGACCCCTTATCTATATAAGGGCAATAAGTCTGTGGCCAATGGCCCATGCCATTAGTTTTCTGGGATTTTTACTACAGGTCATCACAAGTTCTTATGATGTGTGTGGTAGGGAAAGAGAAGGGAGCATATGGGCCTGAGATATGTCTACACAACAAATGAAGGTGTGAATTTATGAACACCAGCTTTAACCTAAATAGCATGGGTAAGAATAGTGAAGACCTGATGGTACAGAACTTAGTGTGGCCACAAGACTATTGCTGAAGTCTGTAATGCATATCTTCACTGTGCTCTTTATACCTCTGCTGGCTAGATTACAGCTGGAAGGAAGGGTACAATTGGACCTTCATAACTGCACCGTTCTACAACTGCACTTTCATTGGTTGCATAGATAAACACGTAGAGCACCTTCTTGCCAGTTCTTATTCTTTCCTTCCCATTTCCTTGAACACCTTAAGCAAGGTAGAAAAAAGTGGGTAAAACTGCAGAGGAACATTCCATTTGGGCACTTCATCCATCAGGAATCTACCTGCAACTGCCTCTGAGTTTTACCTCCCTACTGTACTACAGGAAGCATGCAATGGTTTTAAATAATTCTGTAATTAACTGAAGTGTCAGAGGGTTAGAAACAATGTCACACTTTACACATCACTGATGTTGGACTTTATAGAGGTTTTGTCTAGTTATTTCTTCAGATACAGTCATATGCATTTTTAAGCATATAACTACACAATGATTTCATGTGTTAAATCAAAATGATTAAGTAGCAAGCCAGATCTTCAGCTGTCCTAGTATGGCACAAAGCACACTGTGGGGGTTGGAGGAGAAAGTTGGCTTGGTGACTTCAGCAGCTGACCTAGCATCACTGGAGTACAGCAGTGTTTCAGCTATACCCTACATACTCTTAATTTGCTCGTCAAGGGTAAAACATAAACCACTAAGCCACCCCTACATCATCCAGGCTGGGAGAATCCCTTACACTGGGAGAATCCCCAAGATGACAATCCTGGAGCAGAGCAAAGCAGCTGAGGGTGGCAGCGGGGGAGATGGGGATGGGGGGCACAAAGATACAGCCTGGAATTCAGGTTGTTTTTTTTTAATGCTTTAAAATATTCCAATGGAAAGTCATTTTTAAACCATAAAAAATTTCAATGCAGTACTGCAAATTTAAGCTGCATGCATGAGAACCAGAAAATGTGCCCAACCAGAAATGAAGTATAGTCCAAACTACAACAAAAGAAAACATATATACATTTTAACTACCTGTACTTAATTACATTATTATGGGAATTATATCTGTGTTTAAGTATGACATCTAAGAAGAAGTATTTAGTTTTTTAGTGTCTGGAAGAGGCACCATTTTGTTGCAATGCAAGCAAATGCATGAAGGCATTTGTAACTCTTAGTTTTGTTGAAAATGTGTGTGTTTTCAGCCAAAATTCATTGAGCTATGTGTGAACTATATATGGTAGTGAATCTGTTACCTAGAACTTACTTAGTATATTCCAGTTGTTTTAATGTGACTGGTATTAGGTTACTGTTAAAACAGACAGGAAAAATAGTGTTCAGAGGTCACAGTCAAGTGCATGGCCTTGTTTTTGACAATTTATTCACCCAGGAAATCTTATTACAGATACACTATCTAGCTATCAATGAGATTCTGCTTCTTAACCCTGTAAAGCAGTTTAAAAATTGATCATGATTAGCTGCACCATTAAAAAAGTTAGTCACAATTAATCGTGATTTTATTTGCACAGCCAAAAACTAAAAAGGTGCATAGAAAATATCAAAATTATGCAAAATTATGCAGGTACTTTGTATGGATGGGGGGTGCATGTGGGGTATGTGTGTGGGGGGAAATTTATGAAGGTGTGGGTGGCTATGGGTGTGTGTGTAGGGTTCGGAGCCAAGGGAGGGGACGGGTCCCCACACACCTTGGCAGGATGTGAGGAACTGTGGGTCAGGAGTAAGGCAGAGCTGGGGGGGGCTGTGGCTCGGGAGTGAGGGGAAGATGCACACAGACAGCACCCAACAGGTAAGTCTGTTGAGGGGAAGAGGAGGAGGGAGAGGGAATGGGTGGGGGGTGGGAAATCGAGGCCTCCACAGTGAGGGAGGCAGTGGGGCAGGGCTGGGGTGAATGGCGGCTAAAAGCCAGGGTGGGTTGTCCATCCCCAGAGGAGGCATGGGGAGCATGTGCCCCTCCCCCTGATTTGTGTGCAGGACAGAGGTGGGCTGTCTGCTGTGGGCTGGGGCTCTGTGCCCTCCTGCCTTTGCCCTGGGAGTTGTGCTCTGGCTGCGTGTCCCCTGCCCACCCAGCAGTGGGAGGCACAGCATGGCATCACATGGCTCCTGGGGCAAATGCAGCAGGGCACAGAGCCCCAGCCCATAGCCTGCCTCTGCCCCATGCACAAATCTGGGGGGCACATGCCCCCCATACCTCCCCAGGGGTATGTGCAGTGGCGGGGAGCCAAGCCCCCCACAGGTGCCCCTGGACAAGCCACCCACAGCTCTGTCTCACAACCTGTCCTGGCTCCAGGGGCCCATTCACCCCAGCACCTGCCCCACTCTCTCCCTCACCATGGGGGCCCTAATATGCCCCACCCCACCCCACCCTTTCCCTCTCCTCTCACCCCTCCCCCTCCACAGAATTACCAGTACAGCACAGCTCTACACACAGCCAGGCTGCATTCCTGGCCACCTGCAGGCTATGGCTCCTCATGTGTGCCTGTGTGCACCCCTGCCCCTCCCTCATCCTGCTGCAGCTGCCCAGAGCCCATGC